TCTTACTGAAGGGCATATTATTTTCTCTGCCCTATCAAGGAGTAAAACACTTTAGTTTGTAATGTAATGTGCATGAGGATAATGTAAGAATCAGGAATGAGTATTTTAAAATACTTTTAAAAACCATTTATAAACAAAAATACCTTAATATATAAAGTCAAAGATAATTTAGCCCAAAGAATCTTCTTTTTATTTTTTTTTGTAATTAGCAATATTTCATACAACTTTTAGGCATGAATGTGAAGAATTCTCTATCCTTTTCAAGGTTCTAAAAATATCTTCAAAATATTTGCTTAAATACTTCAGCAGAAGCTTCATCTACACAAAGTAACAGCATGCAAATTCCACATGTACATTTGCTTTTGAAAGCAAAATTCTTAGGCCATGCCTCCAAGAGTGGTTTTTATAAAGCCAATTCAAAGTTTGTTTATGTACTGAGCGTACTCCACTTCCCCTCCACTGAAAGAGGGGAAGATTCAGAAAACACCTCTTCCAGAAGGTCAAAGGCAGGGAGAAGGAAAGACTGTACACACAGACACACAGACACACACACAGACACACACACACACACACACACACACACACACACACACACACTATACAGATTTTCAAGAGACAGGAGGAAATATGCTGTGATATATAATGTTCTTCCAAAGTGAATATAGGGGCTGAGGATTTAGCTCAGCGGTATAAGCGCCAGGCTGGTAAGCATGAGGTTGTGAGGTCATGAGTTCGATCCCCGGTACCAAAAAAAAAAAAAAAAAAAAAAAAAAAATCCCCAAAATGAATATAGTTCATTTCACGCTGTTTTTGGAAATAATAAGAAATACATAAAGAGCAATGATTCTTATAGAAGAATAAGAAGATAGGTTATCGTATCTGTCATCATTACAAAATATTGGAGATAGTTAACTTATAAAGAGGTAGGTTTATTTGGGCTTACATTTTAGAGGTCCCAGTCCACCATATGTAGTTGACTCCATTGCTTTGGGCACATCGTGGTGGGAGCACATGCTGAGGAAAAGTCACTGGCATCACCAGCCAGGGAGAAAAGAGGGAGTGGAAAGGGTAGAACCACTATATCCCGCTGTGGCCATGTCCTGGTGACTTAAGAGCCTCCCAAAATGTCCCCTTGCTCAAAGGTTCTGTCTTCTCCCAACAGTGCCACCCCAAAACCAAGCTTTGAACACAGGGGTCTTTGAAAGACATTCATGATCCAAACTGTAACAGAAGGAGAAAGACTTTATTCATTATTCCTCATGTGCATATGTGTGTGTATGAGCATGTACGTGTGTGTGTGTGTGTGTGTGTGTGTTGCCAGAGGTTGAGCCCAGGCCCAAGCTCTGTACCATTTTACCATGTCTTATAGCTATTCTGAACATTAAATGTAAATTCTAACGACTCCATTATGTATTTATGAGGCTGTTACTTTTTTTCTTTTTGGAGATGAGAAGCCGGGCATTTAATTTTTACACCGGTGGACTGTTGCAAGGGTAATTCCTCCCAAGCAACCGCCCTGAATCAGGAAGGAGTTTAGTCCATATGGAATTAGAAGTGGGTGGTACAAAGCAAGTGACCAAATGTTACATGATTGGTTACACACACTGAATACAGTTTTCTGTCTTACTAAATCTAGTCCATTTTTAGCAAAAAGTTTTTCATGTATTCTAATCTATTGGAACAAATCTCATGTTGAAATCTTTTTTTTTTTTTTTTGTCTTTTTCCTTTTTATCGGTACCAGGGATCGAACTCACGACTGCCTGCTTGCAAGGCAGGCGCTTATGCCACTGAGCTAAATCCCCAGCCCCTCATGTTGAAATCTTAACCTTCAGTGCTTCAGAATGTAGCTGTATTTAGAGATAGAACCTTGAAAGAGATAATTACGTTTAGATGTCATTAGAGTGAGCCTTCTCCAAATGTGACTGATGTTCAGTGGGAAGAGGTGATTAGAACTTAGACACAGAGGGGCACACACGAGGAAGGCAGCCATACATAACCAAGAAAAGAAGCCTCAGATAAAAACCAACTCACCGACACCTTGACCTCAGACTTCAGAATTGTAAGAAAATTCATTTCTGTTGTTCAAGTCACCCAGTCTTTTGTATTGCCAACCCCAGCAAATCAATTATACGTTTTTATTCTCTTAGTAATTTACACAAACTTTTTTAAACACTTTCATTTGTGTCCTTCTATTTAAAAGACATCCCATTGAAGAACTCATATATTCTTTAAGGTCAAATATTCTTTTTATATCTTTTAAATAATTATTATAGTTTGCCAACATGTAAAATAGCTTACTCCTGAGACTGGCTGTGTGTACAGTATATACCAACACTGAAAACAACAAGGGAAAAATGAAAATTATTCACTTTCATGAATGAAAGAAAGAAAGAAAATACCATACTGGGCAAGGCATGGTGGCACCTGCTTGTAATCCCAGCATTTGGAAGGCTGAGGCAGGAGAATGGCCATGAGTTTGAGGCCAGCCTGGGCTACATAAGCACATTCAAGATCAGTCGAACTGCATGTCTCAAAGAAAATAGCAATAGCAGCACTACTGCTGACACTAATTTCCTTGACCTGCTGCACAGGTCCCAAATCGAACAGGCCATTTTGTTCGACTGTGAAATAGACATTTCACAGTCATGCCAATGAAATAAAATCTCTAAATCCACTACAAAACAGGATCAACAGCTATAAAATAATTCCAGCTAACTTAATCAGCGACTGCAGCAGGTAGGGAAAAGCAGAAGGTTGATGTTAGCTGCCTGTCAGGAGCAGTAATTTGTTCCAGTTGTTGCCTGGATCATGATAGATGATTCCCTGCCAACCAGTCCTCACTGAGTCCTTGCAGACTAGAGTTTGGTCCTGAGCCCTTTTCTTGTTACTTTCTCTCTCTTTCACTTTCTCTTTCTCTCTCTCTCTCTGTCTCTCTGTCCTGCCCTGCCCCCTCCCCGGGTGTGTGTGTCTGTTGGTCTGTCTGCTTCTCTTTCTCTCAATCTGACCTCATCTAATCCCATAGTTTCAAATCATATCCTGCCTATGGCTGTCAGATTTATATCACCTGCTCCAAAGCTGTCTTTTGGCCTCCCGCTCTGGTCTGACATCTGCACCTGGCTGTCTCAGAGACATGGTGACAACACTTCTGAAACCCAACTAGTAATCCATTTTCACCCAAAAGTGTTCCTCCAGGGCCAGGGGTTTAGCTCAGCAGCGAAAGTGCCTGCTTGGCAAACGCAAAATCATGAGTTTGATCTGCTCAGGCCTGAAACCGGAAGTCCTTGACATTGTCTCACTATCCAGTCAAAGTAATTAAATACCGATAATCAACCAACAAATGGATCAATTGATGCATAGATAGGTGGCAATAATCTTTTCATTTTTTCTTTTTGAGACAGGCTTTGCTATGCCATTCACGCTGGCCTTGATCTTTGTAGCAAAGAAAGAAAGATCCTTGAATTTGAAGTGATCCTTCTGCCTTAACCTCCTGAGTGCTGGGATTACAGGCATGCACCACCATGCCCAGCCCAGCAATATTTTATAGTATTTGCTGTTTTCTATCTCCACTATTTTACACCTAACTCTAGCTATTTATTATGCCTCTGGGATAGTAGTTGCTTAGCAATATGATCACATCCTCTAAGACATTTTCCAATCCATTTTCCACAATTTAGTAAAAATAATTTTTTAAAGTCTCAAAGTCAATTCTCTCTCTGTTGTTGACACATCATTTAAAACCGTCAGTCACCTTGTATTTAAGACTCCAGGTCTATCCTATGTCAAAAGGAATTCTTGGGCCAGGGATTTAGCTCAATGGTATAAGTGCTTGCCTGGCAAGCGCAAGGTTGTGAGTTCGATCACCGGTACCAAAAAAAAAAAGAAATTCTCAGCTGGGCATGATGATGCATGCCTATAATCCCTGAACTCGGGAAGCTGAGGCAGGGATTCCTAGGGTGACAACTCTGTACGGTGTGACAACTATGTTTACTTATGTTGCCATGAGTTTGAGGCCAGCTTCCATTACATTGTAAGACTGTGTCTCAAAAACAAAAAAAAAAAAAAAAAAAAAAACAACTAAAAAGAAATTCTCAGAAACAAAAGAAGTTAGGAAATGCTTACGTAGCAAAATACTTGAAAAGTTTATAAACAAGTTTAGGTTTTGGAGGACTGGTTCATCAAATGTATACACACCAAAATCATAAGGTTTACAGTTGGCTCATAGTGGAAAAAAAGCAATTTTCTCATACAATTGCCACATGCCCCCAATTATTCCATATTCAGACTTACACACTTTACCAGTCAGCAATTAAACTGTTTTTGTTAGAGAGTAACATATGGGAAATAATGACTGCTTCACTTACTTCGGAGACAATGGTGAAATACTGTTTTGTTTTGTTTTTTTTTGTTTTATTTCAGACTACAGAGTATAGTGTTTCCTAACTGTAGGGTATGACAACTATGCTTACTTATGTTGGAAGCAAAACAAGATATCCATTTTGCTTTACATGGATAAAGCCTGGCATTACTGAAATATTTCTTGTCTCCAACTCATCTATTCTTCCCTCATTTCTATGTTTAAGCCACATGTGCTCCTATTTACAAAGCTCCTTAGCATGCTGTCCTCTCTCTCTGATATCTACTTACCCATATCCTTCATTTGGTCAAATCTTACCAATTTTCCTACTTGCAATTTTAAAGTTACTTCCTCCCAATCGCAATTTAAACTGAGTTCCTATTATTAGTCAATCATAGTGCTCTGTTGTATTAGTTAATTGCCAGTAACTGAAAGACCAAACATAATGATAGTTTAATAAAGGAGAGTTTTCAGCGTGGACAGTAACAATCGCTACTACACAGACTTTTGTTTATTGCTCTCCTTCTGAACTTTAAAATGTACTCAACAGTATTTCTTAGAAATAAGGTGCTGTGCTATGCAATACAATACCCACTAAGCCATGTGCTTATTGAACATATACAAATGAGTCATTCAACTGAAGAATTAAATTTTAAATTTTATTTGTAATTAATTTGAGTTGTAGAAAACTAAAGATGTGAGCTGGGAGTGGTGGTGTCTGCCTATAATCCCAGCACTGAGGAGGCTGAGGCAGGAGTTGCTGGGCGTTCAAGGCCAGCCTGCCATAAATAAGAGTTCAGCTCCAGCCTGCACTGCAGGGGCAAGCAGAAATACTGTAGCCCGGCCTACAGAAGTATACCCTACAGAACCACATGGCCAGACCCTCATAAAAAGGAAAAAAATAAAACACAAAACAAAACAAAGCAAAAAACCCTAAAGTATATCTTTTTTCAACTATAAATTTTAGGAACTCTAAATACAGAATCACTTAAAATTAAGCAATTAAATCCAGTGTGTAAAATATATACTGGATTTTCAAGACTTACTATAAAAAGTAAAGTATCTTAAATTTTATATCATCATTTGAAATGACAGTATTTTAGATATATTGAGTTAAATAAAATATATTAAAATTAATTTAATCTGCTTTCTACTTTTTATAATACAGATACTAGAAAACTTTCCAGCATTGTATTTGTAGTGGACAAGGAATACTGAAATAGTTACCTAAATAATGGGAAGATAAACAAATCAATTTGGAATGCTTTAAACAGAAGTGTGTAACATGGCTGAAGCCAGGTTGGAGTTTGTGGCCAGCTAGATGAAATACTGGGTGAAACAGAAAGAGAAAGCCGTAGTCCAGGTAAATGATGAGTAACCTTTGGATTCAACTGAGGTAGCAGAGATGAAAGAAGAGGGTGCATCTGGAAAACATCTGGAAAGTAAAATTGAGGCTATTTACAAGCCTATTCAAAAAATCTGCAGGGCACAGTGACTCACACCGGTAATAACAGCATTTAGGAGACTGAGACAGGACTGCTGAGAGTTCAAGGCCAGCCTGGGCTACATGAGTTCAGGACCAGCCTAAACTATTTACTGAGTCTCTGTCTCAAAAATACAAAAAAACAACAAAAAGCTTATTCAAGGAATTCTTTAATTCAGTCAAAACTCTGATCACAATCTAACTCAAATGATAATCATTTAATTGAATTATATAATTTAATCAAACTTTGATTACCAGTTTAGACAAACTCTTCGACGATTTTATTAAAGTCCTCAATCTAATAGGTCTTATGCTTCAAGTAACTACTAAAAAATACATTATCATATTATCATAACTACAGAATTGGAGAGGATATAGCTCAGAGGCACAAGTCTGTGCCTGGGGCAAGGTCCCTAGTTCGACTCTTGATACAAAAAAAAAAAAAGACTGCATAACTACAGAATTAATGGTAACATGTCTACTTAAAGCGGCCATAGAGGTAACACCGGTATGACTCGCACAGAAAAGCTGCCCGAGATGGAATCAACCACCCAACACGGATAAACGAACTGGATTATTCAGCGATCTTGGGATTTACTCTGCCAGGCCCCGCCCACAAAGGCTACGTAACGAGACCCCGCCCACCGTAGGGTGTAGAGGCCACGCCTTCCGAGGTTTAGTTAAAAGCCGCGCCGGCCCTGGACTGCTCCAAAGCCGCAGGTTTCGGAGTTCCTCGAATGCTCGGGCCACCTGAAGCCGACACGGCGACAGCCTAGGAGCAAAGAAGGACACAGCAGGGCCACAGAAGGATCCGCGTCCGACACGCTCGCTGGCCGGCAGTGCTTCCGGGGCAGGGGGCGGGGCCTCCGGAAGTGGCCGGTCGCCGTCCGCTGCTCGTTGTTTGAGCGTCTGACGGAAAGGAGAAGCCGGAGCTTTGGCGGCGCCGCAGGGCGGCAGTCACGACCCGATCCAGAGCCGTCGCTTGCCCACGGACAAGCCAGAAACGAAGACTACCAGTTGCTGAGCGGCGGGGCAACACGCCCGTTCGCCTTTGGATCTCATCATGTCGCGGGGCTCCATCGAGATTCCCCTCCGGGACACTGACGAGGTAAGTGTCGGGGTTTGGAGGGGGTAGGGGACGTGATCTTGAATGACTCTCCCGCTCCCGGCCCCCTGACTTCGTTTCCAGTGAGGGCGCACCCTTCCCCCGCGGGATCCCAGGTGGGAACCCCTGGCCCAATCCCAGATCACCTCCTTCCCAGCCCGTGCGCCCCACCCCCCACCCCTGCACCCGCCCCAGGTGTGAGCCCCGCGTCCCTGCAGCCAGGTGCCGCTCCGCGAGAGTTCTCACAAGTTCCCATCCAGCCTGCTCGTTTTTGACAGTACCGTGTTATTGTCCTAATTCGCGAGCGCTGAAGCGTGAGTTTGCCGAATAAACTGTGAAGCACCTTGCGGATGGGAGAGATGAGCGCTGCTATCGCCGGGGTCTGCCTGGTGCCCAGACTCGGTATCTGCCGCTAGGAGTGAACAGGAACTCGCCCCTCCGGCTTAAAAACGCGAGTGTGTCGTGCTGCATTATGCCAGCACAGTGCTCAGTCCGCGGGGCAAGGTGTCCGAGACTTAGCAGCTACTGTGTGCTGGTAGAATTTCCCCCCCTCCGCATGGTTTGTGTGAGTAAGGTTCTCAGCTTTAATATTCATTCTTCTTGAATATTGCGTACGGTTTGTTTCTTGTTTGTCTAAGATACAGTGTTGAGATACAATACAATTCACTTACAAAATCCAGGTATATTTGCCAAGTTGTGTACTCACACAGTTCTGTGAACTCTTATTATTCCAGAACATTTTTCCTATTAGTGTTTTTGTGCCCGCATTCAGCAGTATCTGTGACACAAATGCTGCCTCCATGATTTATGTGTACAGTGGTGTTCAGATCTGCATGGCCTCTAGGGTCTCGCTTCTCAAGGTGTCAGAACTATGGCATCAGAGTCTCCAGGCGGTTTGTCAGCACTTTACTTGGATTATAGATTAAGGAGAGTTTTATTTTGTTACTTTTGACTGAGCAAAGCATGTTTTGTATTTCTGGTGGTGTGGGGCAACCAGCAGGAATTATTTGCTTCTGTATGCTTTTACTTTAATATCGCCATATATATAATCTATTGTGTTTCCTAAATATTAACATGTATTAGGTCGACCTTATTGAAACTGAGTACCTACCCTCTGCATATGCACATTGGTGTATATTTAAGAAAAGCAGCAGAGAAAAATGTGAATTTGAAAAAAAGAAGAGCTGAAGCCTAAATTTTGTGTTTTAGGTCATTGAACTTGATTTCGATCAGTTGCCGGAGGGGGATGAAGTTATTAGTATTCTGAAACAGGAACATACACAACTGCACATATGGATTGCTTTGGCGGTCAGTATTCATATAGCAAATGTATCTATTTGTTGACTGGAAAAATATGTCGTTTATGTTTTCCAATATAGTAGTAGCCAGCTTGGGTATATGATAAGTAATTATACCATTTTTATGGAACTTAATTACATTATTTTGGAACAATGAGGGCATTTGCCTAATTCATGTGCTACTCTACTAGTAAATTAGTATATATTAGTAAAGGCAACATTCATTTACATTAAATAGTACTCTTTATTGAATTTTTGATTGTGCAGTGATTATGCAAGGAAGACTGGTTCACTTGCTGTATAAATAATGCTGAAAGAAGGAACTGCTACAGTATAAACATTGCTACATTAACACTGCTTTCTGTAACAGTATAATATTTCTCCTAAAGTACTGTAAAGGTGATTAGGTTCCAGGCTAACCCACAAAAGCTTTCTGGATGAAGTTTTTATCAGTCTTATGTTTTTATGTCTTGTTTAATTCCCTCCATAATATGACTGTTACCAAAAATTCCCAGGAAAATCCAACAAGAGAAGTTATGATTATATACGCATTCGCATGTACCATGTTTCCTGGCACTATGTTTCTTTTGTATGTGAATAGGTCATGTAATAATCATTGCTAAGCCAGTGTGTCACAAGTTGCTTTTAGATTAAGATACATACTATCTTGAAGGGTCGGAGAAGTAGGTTTGGAATTGGGCTTGCACCCAGTACTCAAGCCAACTGCAAAAATTTCTTCTCTTTGATGTGGCTGTACAGAGAAATACTTTTATAAACTAAAAGTGTCAAGTTTTCCCATCCCATAGCAACCAAGCTATTGATCCTTGTCACACATTTCTTTAAACCACAAGGGAACAGATAAGTTTTTTTAAAAAAGTACATATGCCTTAAAGCACGTATCCAAAACTTGGAGTGTTGAAGGATTAGCATGGCACCTGCTGTAGACTGAAGTGATGAAACATTGTGGGATGTAGGTTACTACAGGGACAGAGTGTGGTCTTCGGGTTTAGAGAACCCTTCATTCAAGTATGAGTTCAGCTGCCAGCTACTTGTATGACCATCTACATATGACCTAAATCCTAAGCCTGCTTTCTCATCTAAAATATGAGGGAATTAAGATCCTCTCCGTAGGATGGTTTTGCAGATTAGAGAAAATATATATGAAGTGCTTGGCATGACATGTGATCTCTTAGGAGGTACTTAATAAATAAATGAATATTCCTTTTATATTTGTGACACACTGCCTTAGCAATGATTTTTTTTTTTTTTTTTTGTCTTTTTGAGACAGGGTCTCACTATGCAGTCCAGGCTGGCCTTGAGCTCACTTTGTAGCCCAGGCTGGTCTCGAACTCTCAACAATCCTCCTGCCTCAGCCTCCTGAGTGCTGGGATTACAGGCGTGAGCCACCATGCCCGGCTTAGTTTTTTGGGGTTTTTTTGTTTGTTTGTTTGTTTAGCAATGATTATTACTTGACCTATTTACATACAAAGGTACCCAGGGAAGTTACCCAGCAGGCCTAAAGTCATAGATAATTTTGGATAGATCTAGACCCAATCCATTATTGCTTTCTTTCTCAAGAAATACTTGTTTGAACATTTTAAAGTGAATTGTTGCTAGATAAGAAGTAGATTGGAATCATTTTAAGTGATTCCAATTTTCTTAATTGCTTTATTAAAGTCTAATTAACCTCTAATGAAATGCAGATATTTGAAGTGTACCATTTGATACATTGTCATATATATATATATATATATATATACATACTTTAGACCCCTTACCACATTCAAGAATACATGCTTACTGTATATATGTGTGTGTGTGTATATATATATATATATATATATATATATATATATATCACCCTAATCCATGCTTTCCCAACCATCCCCCAGCTGTAAGCACTATTGGTCTCTTGATTGCTGAAGATTGGTGTGCATCTTCTAGACTTTCATATAAATGGAATCACACAATATGTGCTGGGGCTTTTTTGTCTTACTTCTTTCAGTGTAATTGAGATTTCTCTATATTGTAGCATATATCATTAGTTCACTCCTTCTTATTGCAGATTATCCATTGTATGGATAGACTAGTTTATCCATTTACTTGTTAGTCATCATTTGCATTGTTTTCAGTGTTTTGCTATTATAAATAGAACTGCTATAAGCATTTGTATATAGGTTTTTATATGGACATGTGCTTTAGTGATTCTAAGTTAATCTTTTGCCTTATAGCTGGAATACTACAAGCAAGGAAAAACAGAAGAGTTTGTAAAGTTGTTGGAAGCAGCCCGTATAGATGGCAATTTGGATTATAGAGACCATGAGAAAGACCAGATGACTTGCTTGGATACACTGGCAGCCTATTATGTACAACAGGCTCGGAAAGAAAAGAACAAAGACAATAAAAAGGATCTTATTACACAAGCAACCTTGTTGTATACCATGGCTGATAAAATTATTATGTATGATCAGGTAAAATAAATCAGATTTCTTTGACTTTATGAAAGGGTAAAAAATACCATGAAAGTAAAATTGTGATAATAGAGTTTTTTGGAAGAATTTTTCTTAAAATAATATTATTGGGATATAGAGAAGGAATCAAGAGTTAGGTTGATTTGTGTTTTAAGGTAATTTTTCATTTTGTAATTAAGAATTGCTTATTTGAAGCTTACATTATACTTGACAGAGAAATGTATATTATGTTCTAACTCTTTTCTATATGGTTTTCATTTTAATTTTACATTCATGGAAAATTGTGGTTAGTCTTTAGTACAGAAAAGCCCTAAGATGTTACATTGTTTTACAGAACCATTTGTTGGGAAGAGCCTGCTTCTGTCTACTTGAAGGTGACAAAATGGATCAGGCTGATGCACAGTTTCATTTTGTACTCAACCAGTCTCCAAATAATATTCCAGCCCTTCTTGGTGAGTGCTCTCTGGCGGTCCTTGTGGGAACCTAGCTGTTCACATATGTCCAGACTGTATCTCTTTGTAATAGTGCCTTACTAACTGAACTAGAATGCAAAGAAGAGCTTTATCTTTTAAATATGAAGCAGATTGTTGTTGAAATTACAGGAATAAATATATGCCAGTTAAGAATAACTTATTATTTGCTTCCAAAGAGTCAGTAAACATCACTTTTTGGCATTTTGGCTAAAATCAAGTGCAAAGATTCAGTAAACATCTTCTGTTTAGAGAACTACAAGCTATTTCAGCTGTTATTTTATAATATTTAATATAAAGTGTTTTTAGGTATAAATCAGTATGTCTTGCTCAACTATGAAATTGTGTTCACTATTTTCAAGTATTTCTTATTGTTAGGTATCTTAAATGTAGGAAAGTCAGTATAAATGGTACAGTATAGCAGATCTGTGTTCTTTAATCAGATAGTACATGTTTATTTTTTAAAATCATTACAGGTAAAGCTTGTA